TCATTCTCGCTTGAAAAACTCTTAAAACTACATTTCTGACACAATAACTAGTAATATATTTTAACTGTATATTAATAAATGGCGCTTCTAATGTCCTTGTAGCATGCGCAAGTGACGATACTCTGTCAACCAATCACCGTTCTGCAGTGAGTCTAGCTCCACCTTTTAGTACCATACCACTGTGCCAGGTACCCCAACGGAAGGGTACCCAAAAAGTCGTACGGAACGGTTCGGCTTTTTGGTACCATTCACAAATTTTGACAGTGGAAACGCAAATAATTGCGTACCGTACCGAACTGTAGCATACCGTACCGCTCAATGAGCCATAAGACGTCATGGTTTGAAATCATCCATGGCACGGAAGGTCCCCTGCTTAAACCAGCACATGTATATCACGCAATTTGGACTTTATAACACGCAATTCTGAGAAATAAAGTCAGAATGGCGAGATGTAAACTCGCAATTGTGAGATAAAAAGTCGCAATTATATTTTAAAATATAAGCAAGTTTTTATTCTGTGGCGGAAACAAGCTTCCATATGACAGATTTAATGTGTCTGCAAAAATGATTTATGATGAATAATAACATTTATTCATAATGCACTCAAAACTAATATCAAATATTTTCATAACCCGTCTCTACCAATTTCTGGTAGAAAAATCGACTGTAATGATTGACCAGAAATAGAAATGCTAATGATCTGGAGGTACTTATGGATATTATGTAATCATCCATTACAGAGTAATGAACTCACACACTGGGGAAAAACAATTATACTGTTCACAGAAAGAAAACAAATCATATCTGCAAATATTAGCAAGTTCTCAATAGTGAAAGAATCGAGAGTACAATAACTAGAGTAATCTAAAGGTTATATATTTTTTTTTACGTAATAATTACAGTAGTAAGGCAAATGAGAAACAGAAACTTTCTGAGGTTTTGGGTAACTATATCCAAATACTAAAGAGAGAAAGATTGACGAATAATGTGAGGAGGATATTGCTTTTGCCTCGTACCTACGTTTTTTTCTCTAGAAAGAAAATCCCAGATTAAGATCATCTCAATGGGATTATGGGAACAGTTCCTTTCTTCTTGTTCTTGGTACTGTGTTTAATTTGTAGGGCACCAGAATTATGTGAGCTAAGACAAAGACTTTGACTTAAAACGTTGATGAATTACAAAAATATAATAAATAAATAAAACAAAAAGATTAGTTCGATTTTTTTCCTTCTTTTTTTTAGTTGCTTTAAATAAATAAAAAACACACAAATTAGTCTGGTTGTGCCCTGTGCTGTATGTCTATTATACATCTAGTCTTATTTCTAGTCTATTACAGTGTATATTTTTGATATGGATATATGCAAATATATGGGGTGTTGATGGCGCAGTGGATAAGACACATGCCTTTGGTGTGAGAGACCACGGTTCTCCCACTGCGAGACACCAATGTGTCCAACACACTTAACCCCTAGTTGCTCCAGAGGCGTGCGAGCTCTGACATATATAGCATTTGTGAGTAACTTTGGATAAAAGCGTCAGCTAAATTAATGAAAATGTAAATATAATTCACCATTTAGTCAGAGAAAATGTGCATTCAAAAGCATTATTTGCATGTAAGATGTATATATTTGCTCCTGACCATCCCTGACTAAACTGGCCAAATCAGTTTAACTGCTGCTAAATAGATATACAGTAATGTCATACAAGCATCCTCTGAATCTGTCTTGCTGACAAAGTATTTTGTTCATTACAGGGTGAACACAAGCTCAACCCATCTTTATTATATCCAGGTTCTGTGCACTGAAAAGCAAATCTGAATAACTTCTTCATGCCCAAATCAATTTCACAGGTACTATATGCCTGCATATGCATATGGTTTCATACGGTCCAAACATAAATATGGTTTGAAAGAAAATGCACACTGACACCTAACAGTCCTATTCTGAAGCCCATTTTAGCGCATTCCTACTGAATTAAGTAGAATTTAATGCATTAATACATCCACTTCGACATTCATATCTTAGCAAAATAAAAACTGTGTAGCCTATAGTCAAAACAAAATCACTTGAATTGGCTTTACAGTAGTTTTATGATTCCCCAAAGCAAACTATAAAACATACGATCATTTAAAACGTACAGAAAATGTGCTTTCTAACGCCCAAAAAGAAATGCTATATAATCATAACGATTATGAAATAAACCCTTATATAAAATCCTCATCCACCTGCCATGACTCTTTATCTGCTAAAGTGAAGACCTGAATTGATCTGATTCTCCAGAGCTGTTGCTACGGTTACACACATGCAACATTCCACCGCTTGTGAGCAGATATATACACATATACTAGTGTGTGAGCAAAAAAGGCCATGTGCTCTACTCCCTTCCCCAATCCTCTGCTCTCTACCTTCAATCCCAGTAGAATTTCACTCTTTTATTGATTTCATATAGCTGGAAATTGACAGCTCTATGTAGAGATATACATATGTGGATGGGTCAGGTGTTTTACCAACATTGCCACTATATGGATAGTAAACCTGAAATAAACTATGAAGAGCAGCCTCAGGTAAATGCTTTTTAATATCATATGAGAGAGAAACTTATTTACAAATGATCCAGTGCGTATTTGTATTTGCACTTTAGAGATAGTCAAAACGCCACCTCAAAACATTCTTTTAGCCTACTTCAGATTAAAAAATGTTTCAGATAACAAAGTTGACATCAACAGAAAATGTAATAGTTGTAATAGACAACATGCTAGACTAATTTAAACACTGCCTGCATGATGACGTGATTATAAAATAGTACATCACCATAACGCCTAATTTATGCATGACAACACAGTTACCATATGCTATTTTTCTCCATTAGTGTTCACAACGTATATGCTTTGGAAAAAAAATTGTGAAATCATAAGTTAATGACTCTTAATGGCAGACATTATATTTTGTGTACAATTGTGAAATAGCTTTGTTAGAACCTCTTTACTGGTGACACTAACACTGTGGGCTGTTTTTTTTTTTTCTTCTATAGTTTTAAGCTGCAAGTAAAGTGCTTTTACTTGTCCAAAGTGTCATCTTTTTAAAAAAAAAACATGACGAGGACTGGAGTTTAAAGCATTCATGAATTGCAATCGTTTAAGTTTAAATATTAAATTTTTAGTGCATGCTTAAAATAGGGATGACAGGTAAGAGTCTACTTTATTGTTCTTTTTTGTTGATTTGTAGTTTGATTAATTCTTGTGTGATTCTATTTATCCAGATTTGTTAGCTCTTGTTTATTATCACCATTTATTTACTTTAATTTATTCATGTTATAAGCATTAGCAGTTTGGTGGGGGCAGGCCGGGTATTGTCTTGTGAGGGGCGCTTTTTAAAATATTGCATAGGGCCCCAGCAAAGCCTGCTTGAATATATTTGTTTGTAGGTTAGACAATGCTTTAATCCAAAAACCATTTCTAAATTAAGGCTGTGAGTGTAAATCAGTTGAAATTGATTTCAGAAACAAACAAATATTCATGGTAAACCTTAAAAGAATAGAGGAGAATATACTCGTCCCACTTGCAAAACATTTGCGACCTAAATTGATCTGGACTCAGATTTTTTAAATGATGGACTCAGTCCTTTAAATGAGTCATCACTGCAAAATAATATGTCTGTGTATTTCCCACTGGATCAGGCTTACAAATAATGATGTTTCAGAATGCCCATATGCAAATGATCATTTTATACATCAGGTCAACCGTATGCTGGTCATTTGGGCAGAGGATTTACTCGGGAAGGTCACACAGCAATCTGCTGACGATTCAAGCTGAGCATACAAAGATCTAGCACATATGCTTCCCTTTCACACCAGCTATCTGTCCATCTCACACACTGCAGTTGTGTTGTGTGTTTGCAAGAGAGACAGATAAGGGAAGGTGACAAGGCAGGTGAAAGGAAGAGAAAGGCAAGAAAAGTGAGATAGGAGAAAAGAGCAATTATGCAAATGTGATTGAACGGCGTTGCCGTTCTGCCATGCACTAGTTACAGTGACCGGTAGTGCTCTGCCCTTCATATATTAACCTACCACACCACATGCGAGAGTTTATACATCTTGACTGTAAAACTCACACACACATTCACACACTGATCACTGTCATGACCTTTAAGCTGCCACCCATGTCAGGCACTATGCTATGCAGACATAACAGTCAAATGGATTGAACCGATATATCACGGTTATTTACGGTTATCAGGGTAATTAAGGTTATTAATTAAACACCACACCTTCATTTAAAAACTGCAGTGGGGTTCTTTAAGAAAACAGAGGGGGGAAAAAACAAGGTCAGACCCTATGCTATGAGATTTAACTTTTCAAGGCAACTTATAGCCTAAAATTTAACCAGCTAAGATCATCTTTAACCAGCAAATCAATTCATGCTGTGTTTTTTTTTTTAGCAGGTAATTCATAAAGAATCTTATTGATGGTGCATTATCAGTTCTGATGCTTCCTGTGCCTACTGTCAGTAGGCTATAGATCACTCTACTAACTGGTACATGTTCTGGTACTGGAGCTTCCTGTTGGACAATCAAGCTTTAGCTGCTACCTTTATTTTGCAACATGGTTGCCGTTTCTACCTGGTCCTAAGAGCAAGCTGACAATCTTGGACCAGCAATCAGCATGGTTATTTTACACCAGCTAACATGTTCCAAATCACAGCTATCTTTCAACAGGGTAAGGAAGGAAAGTAAACAGACATCAGCACCAATAACATTACTGTTTCAACGTATACATTACATTATGTATACATTACAAGTATACAACGTATACATTACCCCAAATCAAGATGTATTTTGATAGTTTTTGTTAACCAAAGTTGATGAACACGAACGTTTTTAACTGATCTACTGACACACTTAAATGTTGACAGATTTATTTTCTGGACGTTAAAATCTCAAGACCAAATACACCGCATCGGATTCAGACTGAGCAGGATAGCGTCAGGTGTTTCAAAAACTTACCAAGCTGAAGTTTTTCATAATTTCATCAGGTGCGAGACTTGAAATCAAAGTCACCTGGCCGTTTCAAGTCGAGTATCCAACAGAACTGTTAGCCTACTTTTAAATCGTGACGGTCACTTGCGCTTTCACAATGTGCGTTGCGCCTTATCCAGCACAGTGGTTAAAGATCATGCATAGTTTCTACGAGACTCCAGAGCCAGATGAGAAGAAATCTATCGTGTCATTTTGAAAAGCGCAAAAGCATTGAATAAAGTGCTCAACGCATAAGAATAAAATGTCTAGGGTATTTTTGTAGTTATTGCAAACGTGACGAGTGCGCAAGAGTACACTGTCCCGTTTCATGCTGCTGTCTTCTCTGCTCTCTCTTTCATCCCCTCTCTCTCTCTCTCTCTCTCTCTCTCTCTCTCTCTCTCTCTCTCTCTCTCTCATTCTCAGAAGTCCTGCCGCAGCGCTGCTTCTATGTTCTCTTAGGTTCGTCATTTTTTAATTTCTTTAACTAAACGTTAAATTAAACCTTACTTTCGCACTCTTCTCGGACCCAGCAGACGTGGTCCCGCAGTCTTCACTTCTCCCTGAGCAGAGGGCATCTTAATTAGTTTACATGATTTAAATGCTTTCATTTAAAATACATCGTCATGAAAATCTCACAAGGGTCCCTCTAAAGGGCAGGCTTTGGGCTTCTAAATGTCTTCACGTAGCCTATAAAAATGAATGAAAGAAATAATAATACTCAGTATAAATGTGATAGACCTTATTCAGAGCAGCGCCGGTTGTATGCAACGAGGACGTTAACATGCACGAACTTCTTACATCATTTGAAGATGATCTCTAAGTATAAGGCATTCAAACATGAGCAGTTCATTTAATTATGATCTTTAATGGAATCATCAGTCAGTTCTAGCAATGAAGCAGCAACATGATGAATCAGAATTTGATCAGCTCAGAGAAAAAAAAGACTGAACTCTGACAGGCCGTTTTGCTAAAGAATGATGAGCCACCTAAAAGTGGAAACCCACAAATTGGTTTGGGAAGGTGTCATACTGCCAAGAATAATTATCATTCCAACGATAACATTAAAAACCCTGCATGATCTTATTTTCATCATGAGGAAAAGAAAGCATGTGGTTGAATGTGTAACACCGGTCTATAAATCAAACAGAAATGTGTGACAAAAACCCAGAACCGCTGTGTATAATGCCCAGCCTTGAGCAATATAACACAACTCATTCTGAGGACAAATTACCATTTAGGTTACTATTGGGTTGTTCATGTGCAGAATACTGCAAAATCTGCTTAACATAAACAAAGTTCATTTGCGATATTTGAATAGGAAAAGAGTAATATAGCATATACTCTTCTTGTTGCACATCATAATAATCATAGACACATCCCATTCTGACTTTAATCTCATATGGTTTGTGTGCATGTATGTGAATGAATGGTTGCTTAAGCTGTTTTGATTGATTGGACAGAAGATTTAGAACTGTTCCACTTAATCTATGCTGGCTGTCAGCATCAGATAGATACGTCTGTCATTCAATCACCACACGTTGACTTATTTGCCAATTTTTTGGTTGGCCATGATTTAGTAATCTATGGGGTTTAGATTTGGGTATGGAAGTCTACCTGAGTTAGAAGACTACTGAATAATCCCTACCAATAATTTTACAGTTCTCGGAGTGATTAATTGTAGAATAAGTGCTAAATGTTGCTGTTCCATGTTTCATTTGCATTTAATTTCCCTTTATAAAAACACTTATCCAGACTAGAGTCGCAAGTAAACTAATAGTGGGTTGTTCAGTTAACGCAGTCCCACTCACACCACGATGCAGGTCTTTTGTGTTGTTTCAAAACAATACTTTATATAAGTGAGGAATTTTTACTGCAAAGCACTGTTTTAAAATGGAGATTGTTTGTATTCTGGTAGGAGTGGTCTGATGTGACAGCAATTAACAAGAAAAACTAAAAAGTGGTTAAAGATCAATCAATCTAAACATAATGCTGTTGGTGAATCCAAATGGTCAAAAAAAATTGTTTTTGACAATGCGTACATGCAGCCTAAAATGTCTGTATTAACAGAGACTGCAAATGTATTGTTTTGGGCATATTTTTAATGTGTAATGAGAATATGCTATTGGAGTTCTCTCATTGTTTTTCACAGGCACGTTGATGGGTGTGGTGTGGGTTGAAGAAGACTCAAAGTCCAAAGGCTCCAATTCAAACGATTTACTATATATTTTGCTCACAGGTACATGCAGGCAGGATGACAGGCAACACACACACACACACACACACAATCATGAACAAAGGAGAACCATCAAAGAGTGACTGAACAGAGGGAAACTAAATACACAATGAACAGGGGAAGAGTGACAGAGAGAAAAAAATGCCTCTGGGACAGGCTTTGGAACAGGCTCTGGAACCTGCTCTGGGGCAGGGACTGGGAAAGGCACTGGGACAAGCTCAGGGACAGGCCGGTTAGACCGGACAAGCTCAGGGATAGACTGGGCAGACGGGACGTGAACAGTCTCTGGCAGGGCAGACGGGACTTGAACAGTCTCTGGCTGGGCAGAGGGGACTTGAACAGTATCTGGATGGGCAGAGGGGACTTGAACAGTCTCTGGCTAGATATGGAGAAGGAAGAGATATGAAAGGGCTTCTATCGAGAGATACTAAATAACAATGCTAGCCAGCTTTATTTAGAGAAGCTGCTTGTCAATAAACTGACAGCAGCAACAGCGAGCAAAGCATGATTTCAAAAGCAACACATTTCAGCACAGTTTGCCTTTTATTTAAAGCCACAATATGTATTTTTTCTGCTTTAAAAATAACTGTATCTATGTTATATATTTCTATTAGATGTGTACTTATAGTATCCTGACAGTTTCCACCAACTTTCAAATACGGAGAAATTTATAGTTTAATTCGAAGACACGGGACGTTTCTTTATTTCCGTTTCGTCGCCCGTCTATTGCGTCATATAACCTTTGACTCCTCTATTTTCTCTAACTTCCTTGCGGAACCTGGCGAAACTGCCAAACACAAAGGGGAACACTGGACTACCGCCAATAAAGCAAAGAAAATGATGAAGAAAAAAAAGTAGTACGTATTTTTATGTGTGTAAATCACGTGCCCGCTCACGAGCGCTCACTCTTAACAGACACTGTCCCCGGTGCTGCTCGCGCATAAAGCGCTCCCCGTTCACAGTAACCGTGTCGTCTCATTCAAAACAGCCAACTGTTGCTGTTAGCGAGCCGCGCACATTGAATACTCATATGAGTCAGGCTGCGAATGTAAGTTACGTGCCCGCTCCAGCGCGCTCATTCTTATTAAATAAACGCCTCACCTCCGGCGCCGCGCATTCACTACATTCCCTTTAGCCTTTAGCACATCTAGTGGAAGCATAACGCAAACCCAGTCAAACGTTTGACTGCAGTATCTTATGTGCTTTATAATCCGGTGCGCCCTATATATGAAAAATGTTCAGGTCATTCATTGAAGAAGCGTAATATAAATATATTCGTCTGTATTATAGTTATGGACCACGATTACGCTTTGCCTGCACGTTCTGCTGCTACAGCCAGCTCAGTAAAGCTCAAACGTACGGGTGAAAAATATGACCCGAGAAGGGTTTGGGACAGGAGAAAAAGCATGACACACAGGTAAACATTGGGGTTGCATTTAAAGCTTCTTGACAAGCTAAATCTACAGAGAGATGCCGTATATCCATATATTTTGTGAAACGATGATGTCACACCGTGAGCTGAGCTGGTTGTCATTGACAGCGACAACAACTCCCGTGAGCCCACGCTCTTTCCCGACGTCATCAAAGTACGTCTTTTGTTATTATTTTAAATAAATGACCCCTGGTGGCCAAAAATCGCATACTGTACGACGTTTAACACAAACGAATGCAATTAATACTCTGTTTTTCAACGAGAGTTGTTTAATTTGTTATAGATATATCTGTACCACGAAATGTTTTAAAAAAGCACTTTTCTAATGACATACGACTCGTATTGACAGGAAAATGTCTGAACTGTCTGCTTAACGTTGCACGGCAGGTGCAAATGCACGTATCTGATTCATATCAGATTTATTTCCACATATGAATGACGCCTGAAACATCAAGTATGACTAAACTCTCACAGTTTAACGTTACAGGTTTGGGGGTTTCTAAGTCTTGCACCCAGCCGCAGCAGAATTGTTCCTAAGCTTCTAATGACTTAAAGCTTCTGAACTCTTGCATTGTAATGTGTAGACAGTAATACCGTAAACCAGGTAATTGACTATCTCAGGGTATGTCAAAGATGGTTGTCCATTCTGTAGCAGGTCGTACGGGTCGATGTTGTTGATGTCAGGTAACGTTAAATTCTCTAAATAGCGCTGCTTAGTGTTGTTATTTAGTCTCTCCCGATTTAGGGGCTTGATTTAGTCCCCCTTCTTCATTTATTCCTGAGAAACTGTGCCTTATCACAAAAATACAAACAAATATCATGCTGCTCTCTCTCTCTCTGTCGCTATTTTTTCTCAGTCTCACTGTTGAAGTCACCATGACAACGAATAGCGCATCTTTCCAAGATGGACGCGTTCCCACAATGCAATGTGAATATTATGTGAATGATTAGGCAGGATGATTTTCAGATCATTTTGAAGCAAAAACTCTAGGCGACAACATCCATTAGTCAAAAGTATTGTGGCCTTAATTTAGAAACCATGTTTTTCCAATAACCATGCTTAAACAATATAATATACTGAACTTGAATCCTTGGTCTAATCAAATAAGTCACCTTTTTGATGAGTTCTAACTCAGATAATTGCAGTCTGAACTATTGATTGGATTAAATTACTTTTGTTGCAGCATGCAGTCCGTCCGTCAGCCCCCCAACCTCTCAATAGAACATTCCTATTTGAATGAATGAATAAGCATTGTCCATGTAATGTTCCTAGTGATGTCCCAAAGGCACTGATGGAAATATTCTCTGTTTTACACTCTGGATGAGTACAGCAGCAAAATCACCAGACAGCTCAGCTTTCCCTGTCTCACATCCTTTTGCATCACACACACACAACAACAACAACAACGCACACAAATCTTCATGCCCTGAGTGTATCTCTCAGGAGTTGCAGTATCTACTCAAAGAAAACAAGTCTCAAAGAGGATTCTCACCAGCAGGACTGCAGTGCTGTTAGAAACAGTGTATGCATGGAAGTGGGTGGCTTGGTATTGTGAGGTTGCTTTAGTGCTACATAATTATTTTGGTCTCAAGTTTGTCTTTTCTGTCTAATATTCGGTTCTACATCCCAAAATTTTCTCGAAAGGTGTAACAGAAAATTATCTCATCAAAGTTA